GAAGAATGGTTAGCAAAAAACTGACATTAAAAAGACATCAGCCAGTGTAGGCTGTAGCTGGTGAAAACTTATTTGCGAGCATGCAACCTCCTCTTGCCTCATCTTTTGTCCAGCGATGCATTTAGTTCAGGCAATTGAACGATGGCCCAGCAAAAAAGGCTGCATTAACAGTCCACCCTGAGGCTGATTCTTTGTTGTTGAGCTTTAACACACACAGACTGATGTGCTGGGCTTAGTTGTTACAAATTTGTTTAGCTTTGCACCATAGTTTAACAAAAATTTGCTAGCAAAAATGTTCATTTTTGGGTGAACTATTCCTAAAAAATGTTTGCGTAAAATAAAAATAGGTTGACTGCCACAGGAAAACACTTTTCATTGGTCAGTCAGTTGCTGTTTTTGCTGAAATGCTAAGTCCCAGGGAGGCTAATTCCTTTGACTGGGCAGACAAAGGGAGAAGGAGAGAAATACAACAAAGAGAAAGAGAGAAAGACAGATTCAAAGGAAAGAAAATTGATATTTCTAAATAGGATCCACTACGTCAAATCTCACCCCCTTGAAGGATCCTGGTTGACCCGCCATAGCAACCTGCTAATGATTTTCAGTCCTGACCATCAATTCTACCTACTGTCTCAGTCAATAGAAGTGTATCTGATTTAGTAAGTAATCCAAAAGGCAAATGGGCATAACTTTGCCCTAGATATTAAAGGGGTCATATGATGTTGCTAAAAATAACATTATTTGGTGTAATGAAATGTGTTTATGCGATTTAAGGTTCAAAAAACACATTATTTTCCATATACTATACATTATTGTTTCTCTTCTATGCCCCGCCTTTCTGAAACGCGTCGATTTTTACAAAGCTCATCGGTCTGAAAAACGAGGTGTGCTCTGATTGGCCAGCTACCTGCACCACTCACCGGTCTCGAGTCCCACGGAGGAGCTCCGGAAGGATAAAAGGAGGAGTTACGACAGTGAAAGACGAGAGAGGACCAGGCCTGGACTTTACTTTGTGTTTTGTGTGCGGCAGTCGTCCGCGAGGGGCTGCCGCTTTAATTTCATTTTGTGTTTGTTTATTTTATTAAAATCTAATTTAAATGTCCGCCGGTTCCCACCTCCTTCTTCCCGATCTACAAACGTTGTTACTGCACCAAGAGCTTGTAACACTTCAAAGAGAAAGGAAAAATTGAAATCGCATCATATGACCCCTTTAAGACAGTCAGGAAGTAGTCTAACCATAAACATACTTTTGACTACCATCATACAGGTTCACTGACTGAGGCTGAGACTAGGAAGGAAGTGGCTTCTGTTCTCGGAAAAGAATATTGATGCAGTGAAGTGAGCCAGACAACAATCTGAAGTAGAGAACAGTACTGGTATCAAAAAGGTAGAAATAAAAACACAAACTGCATTTTATGTTAGTGAAAAATTAAGACTGTTATTTACCAGAGGTTTTCTTTGAATGTGATTTCTTGAGAATGACTTTGAGGAAGGTTATTGGGTCAAATCCCATACTGCATTAAAAATGGAAATTGAAGACTGAAGTGGACAAGATGTGTCTTAGAAACATCAGCTATTCAGGCTGATGACTTTTTTTCATTGCAGACATATTATTTGGGACTTCATGTTGAATAATGGTCGCAAAAAGTAATTTAAATTTTTCTTGCAATATATTGTATGTGTTACTAGATCATATATCCATAACATTTTTTAGGTGTACTTTTTCACAGGACTGAAGTCAATCTATTTCAGATTAATTGCTTTGGTTGTAAAAAATATACCATTACCAATGATGTGCTTTTGTGAATTCAATTTTCAGAGTGCTGATTTAATACTGAATATGTGCTATTCCCAGCATCCTCAGGAAAAGGAAAACTTGTTTTGGCAATCAAATATCACACTTTTCTCAAGGTTTTATTGTTCATTTTAGAGAACATTTGGGTGAATGGTTTGTGACTTTACTTTCTTGAAATGACAGATTTTTATATTTACTTTCCCTTCTTGTGCTAGTTAATTCAATAGTAATATTATTGTTGTTGAGAATATTACTATTGCATTAGGGACCTGACCTTAACCTGACATTTTCTAAAATAACATTATTCCAAAAGAATAAAAGCATTTTTCCTTTAGAAAGTACAACCATTGCATCCTGTGATCACTGCATTACTAGGTTTATGAATCACTTTCTTGTCATTTGTAAATGTAGGGTCTCACACAATAAGAACCCATGGAAAAAGCCTGGAAAAAATGTTGCCTAGCCATTCGTCACCATATAAGCTGCTTTCTACCTAAGTCTGTCAAAGTGACTCACCAAGGATTAATTTACAGCAACCCATCATTTTTAATAGAGCAATTTTAAGGAAAAGGTATGAACCTATTTACTGTTTGTATATGTACTGTTTTACACACAATCTACTGATACTGAAAAGTACAATTGACAAACAGAAGTAGTCAGTTAAGAAAAACCATCAAACAAAAAAACATTAAATTACATTTTTTGTTACACTTTGTTACTTTAAATGGCCAAAGGTTATTATTATGAGCTATAAACATCCATGAAAATCTAAAACTTGGCTATAGCTACAACTGTCTATTTTAATTTATTTTCAAATTGTATTTATATTTGTGAAGGCAAAGCTTAATTTCCAGCAGCATTACTCCAGTCTTCAATGTCACATGATCCTTGAGAAATCATTCTAATGCTGTTTCACTGCTCAAGAAACATTATTATTGTTCTCACAGTCAAGCAGCTTAATATTTTTTTGTGGAAACCATGACACTTTTTCAAGATTATTTGATGAATATGAAGTTCAAAAGAACAGCATTTGAAATAGAAATCTTTACACTCTTGATGTATTTACTGTCACTTTAATGCATCCTTACTTAATAAGCATTAATTATTAAAAGTATCAATTCTTACTGGAAATAGTAGTCTAAATCATAAGAAAATAGCACACTGCATCCTATAATTAAACCCCTACCATGAAAATAGAGCATTTAAAAGAAAATATGATCCACTGACACAAAACCACATGATAAAACGATCATTTCTGAATTGACTATTAATATCATTAGTGTGATATACAGTATTTTACATGACATTAAGTGGCTTTATTAGGAATAGCCTACACTATTTGCATGGTATAAACCACGCCTTTTCCAATGATTATTATAGTACTGTAGTGAGTGCATACGTCATCAGTGTCACGTGAACGCGCGTAAATCTCTCACATTGTGGAAACCATGACACTTTTTCAAGATTATTTGATGAATATGAAGTTCAAAAGAACAGCATTTGAAATATAAATCTTTACACTATTGATGTATTTACTGTCACTTTAATGCATCCTTACTTAATAAGCATTAATTATTAAAAGTATCAATTCTTACCAGTGTTGGGGAAAGTTACTTTTAAAAGTAATGCATTACAATATTGCGTTACTCCCTAAAAAAAGTAACTAATTACGTTACTTAGTTACTTTTTATGGAAAGTAATGCGTTATATTACTTTTGCGTTACTTTCGCGTTACTTTTTAAATATAAGCAGGGCTTGATTGTTTTTAATATAAGAAGTTCTATTTATAGCAAATATAAAAGCCCTTTCACACCAAAAAGTGTAATGAATAAACCTCAGGCTGAAGCAAACGTAAATTCACGTCTGTACAGTAGAACGCAGGAGAAGAAACACTCTTCAGCAATAAAAAAAAAACAAAGCACAATTGTTAGTTTATCTAAAGTCATTTTTGTTTATTAGTATGGTTGAACTTGATCATCACAGGTCAGCAGCAAAGACATTGGTTAATAAAATGGGATTAGATACATTTGTGTTATTTAACATTTAATTATTGCAGGTTTGCGTCATATTCTGAGTTTGCATTTCAC